CTTATATTCGTATTTATAGAGATTTAGGACGTCAATGGGTCGACCCAATTCGTTTCCTTGTCCAATTGTGGAACCTTTCTGGTGTTGGAATCCATATCCAATACGGATACGGTGTGAAGGCGGTCGACCTCTTCATAATGCGGTCGACCTGTTAGGTGCACAAGGGTCGGCCTATGAGATATTTGGGTCGACCTTTCATTCTGTGAGACCACCAAAGCGGTCAACCGTATTATGTAAGAGGTCGACCGCGTCTCGGAACCCCACATACATGAATTAGTCCATTCGGTCGACCGCATGTTGGATTAGGTCGACCGAAAAGTCCATGTCACGGTGACATGCATGTCACCGTAGCAAAATCCGATAAGTTATATAGAAGTTTTACAACACTTCTACTTCATTTCAAACGATTGCTAGATTACTTAACACATAACTACAAGAAAATAGCTCACAAGTTCATAGAATCATAGATTAATAATTTATAAATTTCTTGAGCTATTGAAGAGATTAAGAGAAAAGATTGAGATTGTAAATGATGCTAATCCCCCCCCCCCTTTGATATTGACACATATGTGTTGACTTACTACTGCATGGCCGCGTGCTAAATTTCTAACTTGCAACTGAATTCCTAGACGAGACGCTTTGGCATTGCCTAACCCTGAAGCGGAAGGTTAAGCGCACCTATTAAGGCAATGATTAATAGTACACTCTCTAGTATATACTTAATGGTGTATATTTACTAACTAACTATTATCATATATGTATATTGTTTTCATATTAGAGATGTCAATAACATCCAATTACTCTGCTCAATCATGTCCCATTGATGAAAGCAAGCCATATCAAATAGAGATTATATATAACTTAAACATGCAAAAGCATGGTGGGAGTTACAAAAGGGTAGGAGGACCATACAGGAAAATTGACATGCTAAAACAACAGAAATCCCACCCCTACTACTCAAATTCCCATATTCATCCCACCCTGGTACCTCAAAATCTCCTATGTAGCTACTACCACAAACCCAACAAAAATAAAGAGCTTCGTACAAACACAAACAAACCAACAAAACCTTCTTCAGTAGGGTTATCTTAATTCAATTTTTGTTTCTTTTTTTCTTTTGGGCCTTGTTGAGATATGCCCAGCGTCCCTTCTGGCCCAGGCCCAGGCGTGTAAAAAGGGGGAAGAAAAGGGTCAAGGGCGAAGTTGGTCAAACGTTTTCGGATGGAGGGAGCAGCGGCTGACTGAGAGCAGACTTGACGTGGCCGTGGATCCTGCTGCTGCCGTTGTTGCTTCCCTGGTCCTGACCTGACTGGATCGCAGCCTTCTCCAGGTTTGTAAACTTCCTCTCTTCGTTCTTGCCCCACAGCACGAGGTACAATCCGATTATGATCAGGACTGCCCCAATGATCCTGTGCATCCATGCCCACGCCAAACACAAAACAACAAGTCAGCAACCACCCAACAATATCCTTCTATTTTTCTGCCCCCACTACCCCTCGTGACCCTGTCGTTTCCACTTTCCACGGTTGAAATCAAACCGCTAGACACCCAAAACGAGTCAAGAATCGGACCCCAGGGACAGGACAGTTTCGTCATTTTCCAGTTGTCACAGTTTAGTTATGGAAAAAAGGAAAACTTTTGGTCAATTAAAGTTCCCAACTTCTCATCTGATTGCATGCACGTGAGCCCACAAGAGCTCATCATGGCTAGTGATGATTAACCTCATATAGTAACTGGTTTTTGAGGGAACTTTGGCTTAATAGTGGAGATATGAATCAAAAGGACCAAAACTAGCCATGGATCATCCTGTATGATCTTTGTTAGACAAGTGAATAAGAGGGTTGAAGAAACGAAGGAAAGTTGCAGTTTGGCTTACCCTCCGAGGAAGAACTCCTCGCCCAGAGCCAGAGAGGCCATAATGGCGACAATAAGGGTCTGAACAGGCTGATACACGGCCACAAACACAGGGCCCCCTCTGTCAATGCACCATATCTGCACAGCAAACGCGATCCCAGATGCCACCACTCCCTGCACACACACAAACACCAAACCAACCTTACAAATTAAAGACACCACCACCCAAAGAAAAACACAAGAAGCTTCTCTCTATCTTCCCCATTCAGGGACCATTATTGACCTCCCACTTAACTACTTTTTCATGTCACTTCAAGCTCTTCAACCATTACCCAATTGGTCTTACTGCAACCCCACAAAAGGGTTCCATTCCGATTCCGAATACGACATTTCTGTCTTTCAGTATCCTTTCAGCTGAATTAATGTAAGCTTAATCCATTCCCCTTGTTTGCATTCACTTTAATTCGATCGCGCGCGGTTAGTTCACCATCAGGATCAACGAAATTATGTGATTTAGGGATAGTTATTATTGTACTGACCGCGTAGAGGATGGTGAAGAGTTCGCCGCCGGAGTGGAAAACCCAAGCCTGGGCGTCGCGCTCGACGATGCCGGCGATGACCAGGAACTGGAGGAGGCCGAAGAAGCATGTGTAGGAGGTGACCGAGAGTCTCGCCGGGTATTTCTTCAGGATCGGGGCCTGCAGGACGAGCCAGCCGGACCAGGAAAGGCAGTGGCCGATCAGGAAGATGCAACCCAGCGTCCAGTTCCCGCTGTCCGCTTCGTCTCCCAGCTTCGAGACGTAGCTGGGCACGGATGAAGTCGCGGCGGCGGAGGCAGGGGAGGTGAGCAGGGTTGTTAGCGGCGGAGTTGGGGTGTAGATCGCCGGACCCTTGTACAGAGTGATGACGGTGGCGCCGGCGACGCAGCAGAGGGTTCCTAGCGCTTTTGAGATCCCGTCTTTTCTGTCGAATCTCACTTTCTCGATTCTGGGGTGGGAAAAAACAGGGGAAGCTCTGTTTAGTTTTAAAAAGTCCCGATGGATTTGGAGCCCGGCAGAGGAGTTAAAAGGAGGGAACTTGCCGGAGGATGGCCGCCATGAGGAAGGTGATCGCCGGGACGGAGTTCTGTATGGCGGAAGCGAAGGTTGGGGAAGTGTTGTTGAGGCCCAACAAGTAGAAGCCTTGGTTTGCAGTGATACTGTTTGTGAAAATGCCACAAAGAAAGAATAAAAAAAACCCTCATACAGTAAGTAAGTTCCACTTTCATTTAGCCCTTTTCAGGTTCAATTTTGTGCTACTTAAGCATTATCAACATACCCAATGAGAGCCAGGAAGAAGAACTGAACCAGGAAGTTGAGGGTGATGGCTGGTCTTTCCTTCCTGTGTCAAGATCATGATCGATCAACCAATCAGAACTTACTTATGTGATCATAAAGCTTTCACAAAAAATGAACAAACAAACTGTATGTGGAAGCTGCAGAGGAATTTGCAGTGGTTAAGGTAACGTACTTCTCAAGGAAGTAAGCAAAGGGGAGGAGGAGAAGCAGGGCGATGATGTTTCTGTAGACAGGGAACACAAGCATGCTGATGCCCATGTTGAGGGCAGCTCTGGAGACGACATGGAAGCCAGCATAACCAAACTGCAAGGCCAGCATGGCCAAGTGCAGTTGCATCTTCTCTGGCACCGAGCACCACATCCTGCCTCCCGAGCCGGCTGTGTCAGCCATGGTTTGAAGCTTAGTGGAAGATGAGAAAACGGGGATAAGGGATCAGAGAAAATGGGGGTGGAAGTGTGGAGTGCAAAGAGGATGACTGATGGGTATAAATACACAAAGGATTTTAGGGTGAGCTAGTTTGGGAGGAATAGTTACTGAGAATTGTGAGGGAGAAGAAGAGGGTTTGTGTGGTGGGGACAGCTCTTTGGGTTGTCTCCCACATTCTCCTCTTCCTTTCTCTCTTGTATATACATTCCACGGCCACCCTTTTTTCTCTTTTACCGCTTGCTTTTGCTTCTTTGCTGACAAGACAACCCCAAATCGCACTATGGGTGGGGGACTATTTTCATTAAGAATTATCATCAAGTTCTACCAAAAAAAAAAAAAAAAAAAAAATTATCATCAAGAGAGGGGGAAAAAGTGTTACAAAGTGAGAGGGAGGATGAGATTAGATTAGATTAGTTATTAGGAGGGAATTGGTATGGTCTTGCTAATATCATCATGATCCTTTCAATCAATCAATGTATAATTTCTCTATTGATTTGTATGAGTATGCTATAATACAAGCTATAAGAAGGTTGTGCCCTCCAAATAAATTCTACCAGAGCAGCAGTCATACTTATGATCGACAAGACGATAAACATCACTACGTACAATATCGTATGAAGACATTTCATGTGTTCTTGAGATGCATGAACTGTTTGTGTTTAATTATCATACCTATAGGGTGGATGAGTATCATTTATCGTTAATCATATAGTTGGTTTGTTGATTAGATTGCATTAGAGGTAGCTAGGTGTGCAAGTGTACAGAGTGTGCTTGTTTTTTGGCAGCATGCCTTTGCCAATAATGATGAAGAAGAATGGGTGAGTGAGTGAGAAAGGGAGCCGCCATTGATATGAAGAGAGCACGCACGAGGTGGGATCCGCGCGCCCATGCGCTCTCAACCCTATAAGCTTCCTCTCCTAACCGACTCCTTTCGTCTCTCAAGTTTGAAAAACTGTAAACCAACCTCACTGTCATCTAACAATCAATGCATAGTAATTCATCGTTGACGAATCTATCTATAATAATATTATGGCAATTTAAAAGTAATTGTTTGCCACATAAACACTTGGAGAATTCACAAGTTGTAGGATTGAGAAGGCTGATTGAGATTGACCGGTCCAGTAGTCTTGTTTTTTCTCTCTATCCCTGGAGAGCCGGTTCGTCTCCTCACTGTCCCAGTAGTGCTTTGGTGACGCTTCCTATTCCCTGGAAGAAACGAGTGTTTTCATTCGATCTTGGATTCCTCTTCTTCCTTTTCTGATTTTGGTCTTCTTCTTTCCTCTTGTCTGTGTTCCTATTCCACCTTTCACCTCTCTATCGTTTGGTTTTTGTCTCGCCTGCGGTTCTTGCCTTGGTTTTGGTCTAGTGTCTTTTGGTCTCCCTGCTGCTGTTATGGAGGAAGAAATAGCCTCCAAACTATCCGGAATGGATCTCACAGAGGAGGAAGAGACGTTAATCAGCATTGATGATACCGTCGTTACTGAAGGAGTGGAAGAAGTCATCAAGGAACTTGGCGTGGCTAGAAAGCTTATTGCTGGAAAACCTCCATCTGCAAAGATACTGAAAAGAATTCTTAGTGAGGCATGGAAACTCAGAAGGGAGTTTGACGTGCAAATTACGAGAGACAACATCATAAGGCTACAACTCTACTGCTTTGAAGACAAAAACAAAGTTCTTTTTGGAGGACCATGGCATCTGGAGCGTCAACTATTAATCTTTAAGGAGGTCCCTCCTGATTTAGATATGAAAAGACTGGATTTTTCTATGGCAGATTTCTGGGTTAGAATCAGAGAGCTCCCGCTGAAAATGCGAAATGCTCAAATGGCTGAAAAAATGGGTGCTATGTTTGGAAGCTTCATTCGTTGGGATGAACTATACTCGGGTGTAAACAGTGACTACATGAGAATCAGAGTCTCTATACCGGTTACTAAGCCGCTGAGAAGAGTGGTCAAGTTACAAGGAAAGGATGGCCCCATTTCCTACAGAGTTGGGTACGAGAGACTTCCCATTTTCTGTTTCAAGTGTGGTGTTTTCAGACACCTTAAGAAATCTTGCCCGAAGCAGCTCGAGGAGGCTAATGCCAAAGAAGATTCCTATGGACCCTGTTTAAGAGAGGATTCCCCACTTAAGAAATTATCCCTTAAGGAAAAAGGCAAGTCTCAGCTACTGGCAAAACTATGGGAGGAAGTCCAAGCTGAAAGGAACTCAAAACAGAAGCTGTTAGAAATGCAAAAAGGAGTGGAAGAGCAGACAGAAGAGCTCACTAAAGATCTCCTTACTATTAAAGTGAATGACATCCTCACAAATTCTTCTCTGGGGGGAAATGAAGAGGAAATAAGAGGTAAACCAGATCCTAATGGGAGTATCCAAAAGGGTGCAGATCTGTTGACAACAGTTGAAACAAATAATGGGCCTGGGGCAGAGAGAAATCATGTGACTCAAGAGAAGAATACTGCTGCTAGTGCCTTGGAGGGAAAAGGTGGGAAGAGATTGGATAGGAAAACTCCCCTAACGGCCCAAAGGAAGGAAGGAAAACTCGATATGGGAAAATGAAGTATTCCTGATGATATGGAAATTAATTCTGCCCTCTCGGGCGAAAAACGTGCCAGATCTTTTGCTATTATGGATGGCGATGTGGCGGTCCTTGCCGAGGAGCAAGGACGCCGAGCCCAATGAAGATCTTAAGTTACAACTGCCGAGGCTTGGGCAGCCCCTCGGCAGTTGCAAAATTGAAAAGGCTGGTCCGTAAACAACAACCTGACATTTTGTTTCTTATGGAGACTAGGAAGGACGAAAGTGGTTGGCAAGAGGTCCAAAGAAAGTTGGGATGTCCAGGGGGATGGGGTGTGGCTGCCAGCAATGAGAAGGGTTGGAAAGCGGGTGGCCTATGTATGTTTTGGATAGATGAGATTGATGTTGTTAAAGTAACAGCTTCCCTCCATCACATCGATGTTCTTGTTGGTAGCGAGGATGGGAGTGAGAGATGGAGATTGACTGGCTTCTATGGCTGGGCGGACAAGGAGGAAAGATTCAGATCGTGGAACTTGATAAAAGATCTTAAAAATGGTTGCTCATTACCATGGGTTTGCATCGGGGATTTTAATCAGGTCCTTTCCGGGGAAGAGAAGAGAGGAGGAAGGCTCATCAATGAGCACCAGGCTGGGGAGTTTAGAGAAGCTCTGGAGCATTGCGGCCTTTTGGATTGTGGTTTTAACGGCTATCCATTCACATGGGAAAACAATAGAGCGAATGAAGGCTTCACTGAAGAGCGACTGGATAGATGTGTTGCGAGTTGGGAGTGGCAAAATACTTTTCCAAATCATCAAGTGTTTCACTTGGACAGAAGCGGTTCTGATCATTGCCCGATTCTACTTTACACAGCTGGGAAAGAGGAGGAAGACATTAAATGGGGTTGGTATTTCCGCGTTGAATCTTTCTGGCTCAAGGATCCTGAATGTGCTTCCATTATAAGCAAGGCTTGTAGCGAAAACACAGATAGAAATTTACTGTCTATATTAGCAGATTGCAGATCTGAATTATTAAGCTGGAGCAAGAGGAAATTTGGGGATATAAGGAGAAGAATTGAGAAAATTGACAAGCTGCTTATATCTTTTAAACAAAAGCCTAAGACAACTATGGTTTTAGAACAAAGGAAAACTTTAGAAGCAGAAAGGAGCGAACTCATTCATCAGGAGGAGGAACTATGGATACAACGATCTAGGATCGACTGGTTGAAAGGGGGGGATAAAAACACAAAATTCTTCCATGCTAAGGCCACTGCTAGAAGGAAAAGAAACACTATTAAGGTGTTGCGAAATGAAAATGGCAGGCTATTCAAGGGACAAAAAGAAGTTTCCAAGTGCATCAACGACTATTACAGAACCCTTTTCACTAGAGGTAACACCCCTGAGACTGATTTTGTCATTAAAGCGCTGGAAAAAAAGGTTACCCCTGCTATGAACGATATGCTTTTAAAGCCCCTGGATGACGAAGAGATTAAGAATGCCCTGGATCAAATGGGCCCTAATAAAGCCCCAGGATCTGATGGTTTTTCTGCAGGATTTTTCCAGAAAAATTGGAGTGCGATTGGCCCTAAAGTGAGAGAGACGGTGATTAATTTTTTCAACAACGGAGTTCTACCCCTAGAGCTAAACCACACCCATATTGCCCTCATCCCAAAGGTGAAATCCCCCGTTACGGCGAAAGATTTCAGACCTATCAGTCTGTGTAGAGTGGTGTACAAAATTATTTCAAAAGTATTGGCAAACAGACTTAAAATGATTTTGGCTGATCTTATATCGGAAGAGCAAAGCGCATTCGTAACAGGGAGGAGTATTACTGAAAATGTTATCGTTGCTTTCGAATGTTTTCAGTTTATGAAGAGAAGAGAAAAGGAGAAGGAGGGTTTCTTTGCTGCGAAGCTCGACATGGCCAAGGCCTATGACCGTGTCGAGTGGGCTTTTCTGGAAAACGTTATGAGAAGGTTGGGTTTCGATGAGTGCTGGATTGGTCTAGTTATGGAGTGTGTCTCCTCTGTTTCTTACTCTATTTTGGTTAATGGCCACAAGTGTGAAAGTTTCTCCCCTTCTCGGGGACTTAGGCAAGGTGACCCGTTGTCCCCCTACCTGTTTCTTTTGTGTGCAGAGGGGTTGACTGCTCTAATAAAGAAGGCAGAAGCTGATGGTAAGCTTAAGGGTATACAAGTTAGGAGGAAAGCTCCGATCATCTCCCATCTCTTGTTCGCGGATGATTGTGTGGTTTTTGGAAAAGCAGCATTAAGAGAATGTGACCAGCTGAAGGATATTCTGAATTATTATGCTAAGGAATCGGGTCAACTCGTCAATTTTACCAAGTCAGAGTTGTCTTTCAGTAAGAATGTTCGAGTCAACCGAAGGCTTGAAATTTGTGGAACGCTTGGCATTAAAGAAGTTGAGAAGCATCCTAAATACCTTGGTTTGCCCACTATAGTTGGGAGGTCAAAAAAGGTTCTATTCGAGGAGATCAAAGAACGGGTCAGAAAGAAGTTAAAAGATTGGAAAAGCAGGACGATGTCACAAGCCGGGAAGGAGATTATGATAAAAGCTGTGGCCCAGGCACAATGCTTATATCCTATGTCTGTTTTTCACGTTCCTGATGGGACTTTGAATGAAATACAAAAGCTCATCTCCAGCTTTTGGTGGGGGCAGAAGGGGAAAGAAACAAAAATCCATTGGCTTGATTGGGACGAGCTTTGCGACAGTAAAGAGGATGGGGGAATGAGTTTCAGAGATCTAAGAGCTCTAAACTACGCTATGTTGGGGAAACAGATCTGGAATGTCTTAACTAGGCCACACTCGTTGATGGCGAGGGTTCTGAAGGCCAGATATTTCCCAAAAACAGACATTCTCGAGGCTAAACTTGGCTATCAACCAAGCTATATCTGGAAGAGCATTATGGGTGCTAAGGAAAAGATTGCAGAAGGCTTCAGATGGAGAGTTGGAAATGGTAAATCTATTAATGTTTGGGAGGACGCTTGGATTCCTGGGAAGAATTTTTATTATGCTGACCCTTTCCCCTCTAATGACCCCCCCAATGCTACTGTTAGTTCTCTGATCGATGAAGATTCTGGGGGATGGGATTTGAATAAGCTGAAATGCGTTTTCTCAAGCAATGATCAAGTTCTCATCTCTAGAATTCCTATTTGTTCTCCACCTGGTGCGGATACTAGAGTTTGGAAAGCCAATGAAAATGGAGCTTATTCAGTAAAATCAGCCTACCAATTTATCCGTAATAAGCAACATCAGACTCTATACCGTATCCACAATAGAAACACGGATGAGTCAGAGGTTTGGAATTTCATTTGGAATCTTCCAATTCAGCCTAAGGTTCGCATATTTCTATGGAAAATGTGCAGGAACATCTTACCGGTTGGAGTTCACATTGAGGAATGAATTGAAAATGCTTCCCCTGAATGTCCCTTCTGCAACCTCCCTGAGTCCCAGATTCATGCTCTTCAAAATTGCGCCTGGATTCGTCGGCGCTGGCAAAACTGCGACGAGAAGGAACTCTTTGAGGTGGGCGAAGGAAGGTCCTGCGTTGATTGGATCAGGGAGATTATCCAGAATTCCCGAGGGAAAGAATCCAGAAATTTTGCTCAATCTTATTGTTTTTGTGGAAGGAAAGATGCAGTCACAAGTACAACAATAGGAAGTTGGATGAAGATGAGATAATACCTCGCACTCTGGGTTGGCTGGCTTCTTATCTCGAGGCGCAATCCTCCCCTTCGCAGGATACCACTGCATGTCCTTCCCGGAGCTCTTTTGTGCAGAATCGGCAATGGTCACCTCCGCCTGTGGGAGTTGGTGCTCTAAAACACAACACGTAACAATGGCCAAGTGTAACCAATGAAAGGGACTGCAGTATAGTGGCACAAGTAATAAATATCGAATCCACGGGTCTCTAGAGTTACTATTACTCAGCTTCAGTTCATTATCTAGCAAGCTAGATTAAGGATTGATTAACTAAACTACTCTACTAACTAAACTAAGTAAAACTACTAATTACAGTTTGGGAACTCACTTAGGTATGATTCCCCCTAGCTCCTCAATTAGGTCCAAGTTGTAATTCCTTTTGGTTGTTTTACTGTTGATTAAACTGCGGAAGATCCGACAGTAGCTTGGAATCTCTTAAGCTGACCAAGCCCTCTCAGTCTAACTATCCGGCAAACGACTAGTCTTCACCGGGATAGAAAGCTGAAGCAGTAAGAACAGAACTCCACTACTGGAATTAGATTCCAGTACAAAGCAGTAAATTGGCTAACTCTCGTATAGCCAATCTCCTACTACCGAATGATGAGACTCTAGCAACCTAATCAGATTCTATATATCTCAGATTGCAGCAGAAATCAGGAAAAGTTGATCAGACTTCAATTGACTCAATAAACATGCATCATTCGATTATAATCAAACAATGTAGCATCCAAAACTTCATACAAGAAAGATCCTAACTCATGGAACTAGGGTTCCTCAAAACCTAAGTGAAGGGAAGTTACTCCATAGATAAGAGAGAGACTGCAGAAATCTGATCTAGATCTTCAATCTCCATCTCCAAGCTTGATTCCCGAGCTCCAATGGCGAAGAAATCCTCCAAAATAGCTCCAAGAATGTTCCCAAGTCGCTCTCTCTCTCTAGGGTTCGTCCCTTGGGTGTTTGGGATCCAAACCCCAGCTCTCTCCTTTCCTTTGGCTGAAAATCGGGTTTTAACCAGCAATTCCCGACTCACACGGGCAGGCCGCACGGCCGTGTGGCTCACCCAGTTGCTCGTGCGAGTCAAAACGCAGCGTATCGATTAGTTGAATTCCAAGCTTCTTACACGGCCAAGGTCGCACGGTCGTGCAGCTCACCTTGCACGGTTGTGTGGATTTTCTGCTCTGCCCGTGTTTGCTCTCGCACAATCCCACACGGCCAAACTGGTCACTTGCACGGCCGTGTGGGTTGTGGGTGTGCCCGTGCGACTTCCTTTGTGACTTGCCTCGCGCCCGATCTTCGCCCAATCGACCCCGAACTCGCTCCTAAACCTTCATTCACTTGCCAGGACCTGAAATATCACAAACAA